AGGGGGGGCGGGGGGGGGGTGGGCGAGGGGAAACGGAAGCGCGGGGGGACGGGGGGGACGGGAGAAGACAGATCCCGGGAAACATCGGCGTCAATAATCGTGGATCTTCAAGAAACCGGAGAGGCGGTGGGGATGAATAGACGGGAAAGGGAGGAACGATCGCGGAAAGAAAAACAAAGAAGGAGCGAGGACCGGTAATGCGAGTCGAAGAAAGGAGAAAGACTCACGAGTGGTTCTGTTGCTGGATGAAATTGAATTCCTCTTTGATCCTCTCGCAAGTGTCAGCCACCGTGAATTTCAGCCCTCCCGCAGCCCCGCCGCTTCCTCCGCCACCCTGGAACAAAAAAATATATATATGTATGTATCGTATATACGTATATACACGTATATATGTCTGGTGTCTGCCGGAGAAGGGGAATTCGATTAGCATACGGGACAAAGCTGCCGCGAAAAAGAACCGGAAATAGATCGGACGAACGGGGGCTGCGATCGTAAACGCACTTCCGAATCTACGGTTCGTGTTTAACCTCCGTGTGCCGGTTCGAAGATGAAACCTGCTCTTCCGCGAGGACTCGGATCCAGGCTTTATTAACGCGTTGATTTTACACCGAGTAATCACGGAAGCTCGATAAGATCAAAGCTATTTACTTAGTCGGACGAAGTCCGAGAAGTTAAGCTCGATTTCCTTGCGCTTTGCGGGTGGGAGGGGGAATGAGGGAATTTGATTATATTTCATTCGTCAAGGTAAAAGGTGTAACGAAATTGCGAGCGATACAACGGTCAACGCGTAACGATAATGGTTTTTTGATTGAATTGCTGCCAAGTGCTTTGCCAATCGCAATAACTCGGAAGATATTGCAGCACTGTTTCTTGAACATGGCTCCTTTATATCGTACTTTTAACGGGGACGGAATATCAATCCTTAGCACTCGGAAGATTTTTCTTTTTTTATGTAGGTGTTTATCAGCAAATCGGAGTAAATTTTCGATAATATTGCGATTCTGCTGTGCAGGGTTGAATTTAAATAGAAATCATTGAGCTGCTGGGAGCATTTTGTAGAAATTAATGGATCATAGATTTTGTGGATAATAATATAATATAATAATATATAATAATACATAATAATATAATATAATATTATATTATACATATAATATAATATAATACATAATAATATATATAATATAATATATAATATATAATATATATGATATAATAATATAATATAATTTAGTGTCGCCGTATCGGCGACATCGGAGTGCAAAGGGTTAAGTAGTTGGTAGACAATTTCATTCGCTGAACTTCTACAAAATTTTTATAAGTTCTCAAAGAGAACGCATTTCGCCAATAAAATATTGTCTAGAGTCAGTTTTTCGGATAAAATTCGAATAAGAAGTTCATGCTATATGACAATAATAATTTCATCCATATCTCGAACAACTATTTCGATTATTAAATTGCGTATTTTATACATTTCCGACAAATATTATTTAGCGCACTTAAAAATAGTAGAGAGAGAACTGAAAAAACATTTAGATGATTAATATTTTGTTTCGATACCGATTATTCGAATATAACCATGAAAATTCGCTAAATATTGCATCGACGAAAAACCGAAATCCATAATCTCTAGCACAGAGCAACGGTCTAACGAAACCGCGCGTAAATTTCAGATCGTTCACCGCACCATTCCGCTTTCGCAAAACAATCTAAACAAAATCGATACTTGTCTGCAAAAAAAGCACAGAGAGAAACAGAAATTCCACCTTAATTATTACCGCGAATAGCTCTTAAACTGTAATCAATGTCCGAGGCGAGTACATACATACATACATACATACATACATACATACATGTAACCTACGTATGAAACCCGATCTTGCTTCTAACTATGAAAACACGCAGCTCGCGGTCTTCATTTCTAATTACGTGGCTCGAAGTGTTAGAGTGGTCTATGATTACCTCAAAGAACCGCCTACGCCGAGCAGTTTCCAGCCGAAACAAAAATCTCGGGGTATCAGATGTCCGAGCAACTTCAGTGGGGTTAACAAGCGAGATCTTTCTTTCCCACTCTGGCGTGTCTCGCTCCCGCTCCGTTCTCGCAGAGATTATGCAACACGAACGATAACGTCGATGCCCAGGCCAGCACAGAGAAAGACGGGGCAACGGAGAGTGAGAGCGAGAGAGAACGAGAGATAGAGAGGGAGAGAGAAAAAAAGAAAAAGTGCGAAAGCTAGAGAAAGAAAGAGTGCGAGAGCAAAAGAGAGAGAGAGAGAAAGAGAGAGAAAGAGTGCGAGAGAGAAAGAGAAAGAGTGCGAGAGCGAGAGAGAGAGAGAGAGAGAAAGAGAGCAGAGACTGCGAGAAAGGGCCAAAGAGAGAGAAAGAGCAGAGAGTGCGAGAGAGGGAGCAAGGGAGAGCAGAGAATGACAGAGAGCGAAACAGAGCAAAGAGATAGCGAACGAAAGAGAGAGAGAGAGAGAGAGAGAGAGAGAGCAAAGAGTGCGAGAGAGGTAGGGGGAGCAGAGAGAGAGCTAAGAGTGCGAGAGAGAGAGAGGAGAGCAGAGGGAGAGAGAGAGAAAGAGAGCTAAGAGTGCGAGAGAGAGCGAGGGCGAGAGCTAAGAGTGCGAGAGAGAGCGAGGGCGAGAGCTAAGAGTGCGAGAGAGAGAGAGGGAGAGAGCAGAGAGAGCGAGATAGAGCAGAAAGAGCGAGAGAGAATGGAAGAGAGCGAGAGAAACATAGCAGAGAGATAGCGAAAGAGAGAGAGATCAGGAGTGCGAAAAAGAGCGAGAGAGAGAGCAGAGAGTGCGAAAAAGAGCGAGAGAGGGAGAGAGTGCGAGAGAGAGACAGCAAAGAGTGCGAGTGCGAAAGAGAGAGCGAAAGCAAGAACGAGAGAGAGAAAGAGTGCAAAAGCGATAAAGAGAAAGAGTGCGAGAGAGAGAGAGAGAGAGAGGAGGGGAGAAAGGGAGAGTTAGGTTGCATGGACAAAACACGGTGGAAAAATCTCGTTAAAGGGCGCGGAAAAACGGGGAAATCTCGTTACACGGGAGACCAGGTACACGGTCGCGTTTCGCGTTACACTGGACCACGAGCCTCGCCGCGAATAAATCCTAACAAATCCGAATTTAAAGGGGAGACCGCGATCGTGGTCTCGTTCTTTCGCTCGGTTCGGGTACAGAGGCCTGTAAACCGTAACGAGGTTAAAGTCGAAGATGACAAGCAACCAGCATCAAATGGCCTTCGGCCGCATAAGGCACACGTAGAGACGCGAGGGAACGAGCGAGCGAGCGAACGAACGAACGAAGGAACGAGCGAGGGAACCAGGTATAAAATACGAGCGTCTCCGCGGGCTCGGAGGTAGGAGAAGCAAGGCCTGAAGAGGCAAGGATGAAGGGCCATGAAGGCGTTCTTAATGAGACCCATTCCACCAGGTAGCACGAGGTTTCTGAATCCACGGGTTCTTCAGCCCGGCCGGCGCGCGGCGTGTACCAGCCGTGCCGCTCTACCGCTTCAAATTACGGAGAAAAGGATCGAGTCTTCCCGATGACAGTAATGATTACGTTACACACCGCCGTCCGCGGTCATGTCAATCGAATTTCGTGAGTGCACTCGAACATGCCTTCTCGCTCTCCCGGGGATCTTGAGAGCAACCGATCCTCCCCTTCGGCTACGCGTGCTTCTTCCAACGGATTTTTAGCCCGAGGGGAAAAATGATTTCGGTATCTCCCTCTCCTTTCTCCTTCGACGCGTTGTCGCGACGATTCGCGAGGATGACTGACGCTCGCGTGATTTCTCTTTGATCTACGCGTTGAGAAGTACCTATTATGGAACACCGTTCGATCGCGACGCCTCGATGAAACGGCCGTATAAACAATATAATAACAATTAGATAATTGTTATTATATTGTTGTTGTTATTATATTATCTAATTATTTAATTGCGTATCAAGGAGGGCGTAACTGTTCTTAAATGTTCTGCCCATATTTTTGGACATTGTTCTTTATGAAATCGCTTGAGCGAATACTTGATTGTATAAATAATCAGCTGTGAAAAAAATGTTCGTTGCGGGTGTTGCCAAACGGGCGCATACTGTTCCATATCGTGTACTTTTCAATCCCTTCGTCGTCCCGATTTATGGGACAGTCGGTATTCGTGATTCATAATCGATGTCCCTATTTTGAAACGAGCATTTCAAATGCATTGGATACGGAACACGAGATGATCGCGGTATGAAAACAGCGTTCCAACATAGGTACATGTATGCTCGTTCCTTAATAATTCACGCGTATTATCTTCGATTCGTGTTAAATCAATATTTCGAAGTTCGTCGCCTTATCCGGTGAACATCGACCTATCGAACAGCGTTATAAATATTCGATGATAACACTTTTGATTGTATCAGCTGGTTAATCCTTTACCAGTTAGCTGTTTTCGACGAGCATACTTTTCGTCATGAAGAAATGACAATATTTTCTGTTCTATTCGTCAAAAATAGCTAATTGGTTGATAACTTTAGCTAAAAGCTAAACTGATACATGTTATTCCGTAACAATAACAAGATTGTAAGTAAATAAAAAAAGATTTTCAGATGAAAACAATTTTACAATTTCAGTAAGTGTAAAAGAAGAGATCAGAAATCGGTCATTTCGATTGGTTTCGATTAGTTCTCTAATATTAACCCTTTGCACTCGAGTGGTGACTCAGAGGCACCGCTAAAATTTATTACATCACGTTTCAAGATAATTTTCATATTAACAAACTTTAGATTTAAAAAATTGTTAAGAGTATAATTGTTGTGCGAATAGCAAGATTGTAAGTAAATAAAAGAAGATTTTCAGATAAAAGATTTTCCTATGAAAGCATTTTTACAATTTTAGTAAGTGTAAAAGAAGAAGTCAGAAATCGGTCATTTCGATTGGTTTCGATTAGTTCTCTAATATTAACCCTTTGCACCCGAGTGGTGACTCAGTGGCACCGCTAAAATTTGTTACATCACGTTTCAAGATAATTTTCATATTAACAAAGTTTTGATTTAAAAAATTATTAAGAATATAATTGTTGTGCGCGCGAATAGCAAGATTTTAAGTAGATAAAAGAAGATTTTCAGATAAAAGATTTTCCTATGAAAACATTTTTACAATTTCAGTAAACGTAAAAGAAGAAATCAGAAATCGGTCATTTCGATTGGTTTTGATTAGTTCTTTAATGTTAACCCTTTGCACTCGAGTGGTGACTCTGACGCACCACTAAAATTGTTACACCACTTGCCAAGACAATTTTTACATTATCAGAGCTTAGATATAAAAGATTGTTAAAAGTCTAACTGCTGTATGAGTC